GACAGGTACTGAGCAGGGGTCTGACATGATGGAATTTCCATTGAAAAAGGTTACTGTGGCTGCTACAGGGTTTGGGTTCTAAGGTAAGAAGCAGAAGGATCAGTTAGGAGGCCCTTTTGATAATTCTAATGGTTTGGTAATCCCGATGGTATTTTAAACTGGGATGATGGGGATGAGGGGAAAAGTAGTGAAAATTGGCTTATATTTTGAAAGTATACTGGCAAGATTTTCTTTTATACATTGAATGTATGATGCAAAAAAGAAAAGTCAAGGATGACTTCTGGGATTTGGGGCTTGAACAACCAGGTGTATGAACAACTGGTTTACTGACACGATGAAGACTGGGAAAAGGTTTTGAGGTGTTTGCTTTTGGACCTGGTTAGTTAGAGAGAGCTGTGAAGACAATGGAATAGTACTCGGCCTTAAAAGAGAATAAAATCATGGCATTTGCAGGTAAATGGATGGGTTTAGAGAATATAATGCTAAGTGAAGAAAGCCAATTCCAAATGTTTTCTCTGATATAAGGATGCTGATTCATAATGGGGATGGGGGAGTATGGGAGGAGTAGATGAACTTTAGATAGGGCAAAGGGGAGGGAGGGGAAGAAAGGGGGCATGGGGTAGGGAAAATGGTGGATTGAGACAGACATCATTACCCTAAGTACATGAATGAAAACACGAATGGTGTGACTCTACTTCGTGTACAACCAGAGACATGAAAAATTGTGCTCTATTTGTATAATATGAATTGAATTGAATTCTGCTGTCATATATCACAAATTACAATAAATTAAAAAAGAGAAGTAGCTGTGAAGAATATAATTTGATACATGAATCAAGAATTAAGTGGAGAGTTTAGAACAGGAAATAAAAGTTGTGAACTCCTCTGCACATGTCACTGGGTTATCATGTGTGGCACTGCTTTGGTTCTTGTGCCTAACAAAGCTATGTTCTGCATTGAGTGGTGCTAATAGCACAGATTCCACTTCATGATCCTCTTTAAAACTCACCCTCTTTCACACACATGACACAATCTCATTGTTCTACAACAAAGGTCTTAGTTTCTTTTCTCTCAGATATCTGAAAGCAACTTAGAATTCTGAGTATTGTACTCAGTGGCCACAGAGACAAATGCATGTGTCCCAAAGGTGCTGACTGAACAATTCTGGAACATCCTGAAGAGTTAAACTTTAAGAATTGAGGGCAATTCTTAGGAGTTCTCCAGCCTGACTGCCACTGCTTGGAGGGCACATCAAGGTCATCGCACCTACTTCAGCTTCAGGACAATTGTGAAAACACTCAGACCTTCAGTAGCTTGGCTTGTTTCCTATTTAACATGCTTGAGCTGGCTCCAGGGCCACCTACAGGAGGTGCATTCTGAGGAAGTTGAAGATGAATATCCTGCAGACATCCATCAATACCACCAAGAACTTGCTGGGACACACTTGCTTCAGCCCCCAACTCTCTCCCCTCCTAAAGACACTTCTAGAGACTAAAGGGGTTAGACCTCATAAGGGAATATTTCATCTGGTGAGGGGCACACTGTACTATGTGTGTGTTGGAGCGATAAGGCGTAACATTGGAGACTTTTCTAGCATTTGTTGCACTCTCATTATCTTTCTCCTCATTTATGTAGGTTGAGACAGGTTTAAAGTAGCACTCAACATTTGTTCAAACTTAATTTCCCATCATCTATTCTTTTCTTGGTGGGTACACACTGGCTACCGGTGCTCTGGTGTCCTGTCATTCCCCTGCCCTTCTTTATCTGGCCTCCTTGTCTCTGTCATCTTTTCCACCTGGGTGCCAGCAGCTGAGCATGATTCATCTTTTCTCACTATTCCATATTTTACAACAGAGGGATAGTCAAAGGTCACAAGGTGGTTTTTCCTGATCATTAAAGCTTTACTGAGTTAACTGAAGGTTGTAGACATGTTTCCCTTTTTTTAGGGAAGTCAGCTTTGGAGGTCATTGAATCTGAGACAGAATGATTTCATGTGATCCCCTACCGTATCAAAGAAACTTGTGACTGTAGTTTACAATAATTTATTATGTATCTTTAAAATATTTTTTAGTTATGCATAATATTAGAATTCATTTTGGCATAACCATAAAACCACAGAATAAAACTTGCTCTAACTCAGTCCCCAGTACTTTCCCTTTTCCTCCCTTCCTCCCTCCCCCTATTCCTTTTCCTCTATTCGACTGATCTAAGAAACTTAATTTTATCTTATTGGAGTTACTTATTCTTCAGAAACAATCAACTGAGAGGACATACCTAGTCTTGTGGTCCTTTCCTCCTCTGTCCAGTTTCTGTGTTGACTGAACTACTCTATAAGGTTTGTGCTGTGGGATTAATCTTCCAGAGACTTCAGTTTGAAGGCTCTCAGGCAGCAGGGCGAGTGCCCTTGAGGGAGAAGACTGGAGACCCAGGAGGAACCGTGGGTGAGCAGCTGTTATAGTGCTTTCCATATGAATGTAGACACCTTTTTAATTTAACAAGTTTTGATCAAGGTTTATGATTATCTTAAGGCTTACAATGATTTTAAGAAGGTAATGTACAAATTTATGCAATGTTACTTTGACAAGTGAGGATCAAAAATGAAAGCATATTAACAATCACATTTCTCCAATGTGATAAGTTCCTAGGGCATGCAGGGATTATTATTTCAAAAATGTGCTTGCTGCTTGTCACTCAGCTACCAAAAAATAAGCTCATCTGAGGGAACTAAGTGCAAGAGGACATTCCGGAGACTATTTCATCTGAGGCCATTTGTGACAAAGCATTCTTGAATTCTTTTCCTACTTCGATTCCTACTTCCCAATCAAACAAATTTGTTTAAAGAGCCGTTATTTTTTTAAAAGTCAAATATGCTTCTTCCTGCCAAACCGTGTAATTGAAAAATTAACTTAGGCTGGTAGTTCGCCTCACCATTTCAAAGCATCTGTTAATGGGAATCAGTGCCACCAAACAAACCATCTACTACAACACATTTTAAGAGGCAGAAGAAACAATTGGGGGAAAAAAAATCATTGGTGTTTGAGATGGTAAATCTGGAGTCAGGAAGCTCAAAAGTTCTTTGTTACAAGATCAGTGACCTTGAACAAGTTAGTATGCCTATCTAATCCCAGGGCGTCAGCTGTGAAATGCAGCCCCAAATGACTGTTCTGAGAGCGAGTCTAAGAGCTGGTTGTATTCAGGACGTTAAAGTGTTACATCAGTGAAAATCAGCATCGATTTGCATGGACACATTACAGTACTGAAATCCAGTGACTTCAGAGTTCACACTGTATGAATATGGAATCCACTACATGTGCTAATTTTTCTCTAGTTCCCTGCAAGTGAGGGAGTTTATTTCAGAAAGGACTCGGATCAGAGATGTCCCAGAGAGGTTTTGTGAGGTGCAGTTAGGGAGAAATTGGGTTTAGGGTGGGTGAGTAAAACCTGGATCCAAGGTTGCAGCCACTTTTCCTTCCATCCTTTTACTGAAAGGAGGAAAAGTGACCACAAGCATCAAGATTCACTATTAGGAATCATTCCAAGAAATGATGACCCTGTGACCTCGTAGGCACAAGATGCTTAGAAATAACCCAGGAAACTTACTGCAGGAGAGAGGGCGCGAGGAAGACCCGGGGATGAATCAGGGGCGTGACACAGAGTGGGAGGATAAATCTTCCAGTGACTTCTATCTGAAGGCTCTCAGGCAGCAGGGCGAGTGCCCTTGAGGGAGAAGGTTCGAGGCCCCGGAGCGATCACGGGTCAGCGGCGGTTACTGTACCCGGGTGCGCGCGTCCTTTCCCGCGCCCCTGTTCCTCCGGCTCCAATGCTCCCAGAACGCGGGTCTGGCGCGCCCCTGCTCCCACGCAGGTCTGGGCTCAGACATCGCGCCCCCACCCGGCCCGCGCTGCTGAATCCGACTTACCCACCCAATAACCGTCTCTGGACTGGCGGCCTCGGACCCCTCCCCCTTTCCCTGCAC